CCACGGTCCTCGTGAGCCGAAATGGCCCGAGGCCGCCATGCGAACCCTGCCACTGGGGCCTTCGGTGGAGCTCCCCATAGGGCCACGATCCTCGTGAGGGGTGTGCCGAAATGGCCCGAGGCCGCCATGCGAACCCTGCCACTGGCGCCTTCGGTGGAGCTCCCTATGGGGCCACGATCCTCGTGAGGGGTGTGCCGAAATGGCCCGAGGCCGCCATGCGAACCCTGCCACTGGCGCCTTCGGTGGAGCTCCCTATGGGGCCACGATCCTCGTGAGGGGTGTGCCGAAATGGCCCGAGGCCGCCATGCGAACCCTGCCACTGGGGCCTTCGGTGGAGCTCCCTATGGGGCCACGATCCTCGTGAGGGGTGTGCCGAAATGGCCCGAGGCCGCCATGCGAACCCTGCCACTGGCGCCTTCGGTGGAGCTCCCTATGGGGCCACGATCCTCGTGAGGGGTGTGCCGAAATGGCCCGAGGCCGCCATGCGAACCCTGCCACTGGGGCCTTCGGTGGAGCTCCCTATGGGGCCACGATCCTCGTGAGGGGTGTGCCGAAATGGCCCGAGGCCGCCATGCGAACCCTGCCACTGGCGCCTTCGGTGGAGCTCCCTATGGGGCCACGATCCTCGTGAGGGGTGTGCCGAAATGGCCCGAGGCCGCCATGCGAACCCTGCCACTGGAGCCTTCGGTGGAGCTCCCTATGGGGCCACGATCCTCGTGAGGGGTGTGCCGAAATGGCCCGAGGCCGCCATGCGAACCCTGCCACTGGCGCCTTCGGTGGAGCTCCCTATGGGGCCACGATCCTCGTGAGGGGTGTGCCGAAATGGCCCGAGGCCGCCATGCGAACCCTGCCACTGGCGCCTTCGGTGGAGCTCCCTATGGGGCCACGATCCTCGTGAGGGGTGTGCCGAAATGGCCCGAGGCCGCCATGCGAACCCTGCCACTGGGGGCCTTCGGTGGAGCTCCCTATGTGGCCACGATCCTCGTGAGGGGTGTGCCGAAATGGCCCGAGGCCGCCATGCGAACCCTGCCACTGGCGCCTTCGGCGGGGCTCCCTATGGGGCCACGATCCTCGTGAGGGGTGTGCCGAAATGGCCCGAGGCCGCCATGCGAACCCTGCCACTGGCCTTCGGTGGAGCTCCCTATGGGGCCACGATCCTCGTGAGGGGTGTGCCGAAATGGCCCGAGGCCGCCATGCGAACCCTGCCACTGGAGCCTTCGGTGGAGCTCCCTATGGGGCCACGATCTTCGTGAGGGGTGTGCCGAAATGGCCCGAGGCCGCCATGCGAACCCTGCCAGTGGGGCCTTCGGTGGAGCTCCCTATGGGGCCACGAAGCGGTGGGTGAAACGCAGGGATGAAGAGGAGGAAGGGGGCAGCGGGAGGAGGAGTGGACGCGGGGCGCTGTCTCTTCAAAACGAGGACCCAACACCACAGGATGGTTGGGAACAAATGTTCGACCCACGAACCTAGAAAGGGATGTAGAACTGCGAGGCGTGGGAATGTGTCCAAGCACCTCAATTGGGCGATGGGCAGTGGCAATGCTGACGATATCAATGATGATGATGGCACTCTGCCAAGGGCTGTGTTGTGATGCTCTGTGCTGTGCCGCCCGCATGGTGACGTGCCAAAGACGCGCCACGGAACGAACCACTGGAAATGCCAAGGGACCCGCCGGGGGACATGCCGCGTTGAACTGTACCGTGCGCTTTTGCTTGTTGGGTCGCCGTCATCGGCGTCAGAATCCTGACCGAACTGATCTGGATCTTAAGCTCGAGCTGCCTGAACGCATAGCTCGGGCTAGTTGCAATCGAAACGAGCGGGGCGCTCGGCCCTGGGTGGCCGAGACACGTGAAAACAGATGGTTCCAGCTCGGGGCCACCATGTTAGATATCCACCTGGGTGGCCTGGACACATGAGAACACATGGCTTCAGCTCGGGACCACCATGTTAGAACCCCTAGGGGGAAAATCACCAGCCGATGGACGTGTGTCAGATAATTCTGTACACCTTTGGCGTCGATCAATTGATGATGTCTTGCTATTGTGAGCCCCCACGCTGGGGGCTCCAAGCCAACCACATGTTAGATATCTCCGTGGGTATACGTGAAACACGTGACTCCAGCTCGGGGCAACCATGTTTGACGCTCCGTCTGGGTGGCCTGGACACGTGAAAGCACGGGGTTCCAGCTCGGGGCCACCATGTTAGATACCCCAAGGGAGAATCAGAAATCATGATCGATCCACGAATCCGGAATGGATTTAGAACTGCGCGAAATGGACACGTTTCCAAGCACCCCAATTGGGCAATGGGCAGTGGCAACGCTGAAGATGTCAATGATGATGATACCGGTAGCATCATCATCATCGTCATCATCGTCATTACTATCATCACCATCATCAGCATCACGTCCACATCTTAATCATGATCGTCGTCGTCATCATCATTAGCGTTATCATCAACACCATCAACAGTATCCTCATGTCCATCGTCATCATCAACATTACCATCACCATAAAAATAAATATCACAATCACCATCACCATAACCATGGCCACTATCACCATCATCATCATCAGCAGCATCGCCATCATCGCCATCATCATCGCCATCATCATCATCATCATCATCAGCATCATCATCATACGCAGCATTACTGGCATCACCACCATCATCATCATCATCGTCACCGTCATCAGCATAAACAATATCATCATCATCACCAACATCACCATCATCATCATGAATATCTGCATCAAAATGGTCATCGTCAACAACAGCAGCATCATCATCACCATAATCATCCTCGTCACGGCTCTCCCCATTCCGAACAATCGCCACTCAGAATTGTGGGTTGGCACTGTAGCGGGACTTACCGCAGGAAGCTGCTCCAACTTTCGACTCCCCATCCCCCTTTCCCTTCAAACTACGTCTCCTGCGTCCACAATCTCCTCCCTGCACACTGCGCTTCCTCGGAGGACGATGAGAAAGTAAGGACGAGGAAAATGAAAATGGGGAAAGGCGGACGAGGAGGAGGTGCGTGCGTGCGTGCGTGCGTGCGTGCGTGCGTGCGTGCGTGCGTGCGTGCGTGCGTGCGTGCGTGCGTGCGTGCGTGCGTGTGTGTGTGTGTGTGTGTGTGTGTGTGGTGTGTGTGTGTGTGTGTGCGAGTGTGTATGTGGGGGGGGGCCTCACGGCGGAGGAGGAGACGGAGGGGGGCACGAGGACGAGGACGACGGGGACGAGAAGGACAAAGAGATGAGGATGAGGACGAGGCCGACGACACGGGGTCCGGCGACGATGGAGGAAGAGGACGGCGAGCACGGGAACGCAGAGGGCGGGGAAGACGAGAAAGATGCGGACCACGAGGAGGACAGAGATGGAGTTAGGTCGGGCCTGTCCCCCTACAGGCCGATTTTGGACGAAAGATAGGAAACGAACAAGAACTACTCCAAAATGGTCAACAATAGTCAAACAATCGTCCCCCGACTATGTTTTGACTCTTCTTGGATCTCTACCTCCTGTAGATGGACAGGCCCGACTTACAGAGATGGAGGCGCATGGCGAAGAAGGGCTTTTGGAGCACTCGCTGGCCGTGTGGCCGCGCAGGTGCGCGGAGGCCCCGTGCGGGGCCGCGGCGGGAGTGACTTTGCCTCCCGCCCCGGCGTGGGGCGCACCTCTCTGGTACCGGAGGGTCGGAGGAGGACCAGTCGAAACAACGAAGGCCCTCAGCCTCGGTGGCGCTGTTTTTTGAAGTGGCCCTGGGACACACAAAGAAACACACACACAAACAACAGGATTCCAAATATATTTCACCATATGTTCTCGGGGTGTCTGTCTTTCCCGCCACTTCCCATATGTTCCCATATTTTCCGGGGGATCGACGATCAATTGTGTCTGTGGGTTTTTTCCCCTCCTGATTTCCCGAAACGGTGCGGTGACAGACCGTGCGGTGACCTGGAAATCCCCCAAGACCTCACCGCACGGTCCGTCAACGCACGGTTTTGGGACCTCGGATGCCCCAGTCGTCCGAGGCGTCCTCGGAAAACCACCTGGGTCCCAAAACCGTTCGGTGACCCCGAATCCCCACCGACTCACCACACGGTGGGGTCACGGCCCCGTTTGGGGGCCCCCGATTGTTCGTCTTCTGGTGGGCCTCCGGAGATTCCTTCGCCACGGCTGGATCCGCCTGGAAAAAAGCCAGGATGGCCCCGGGAGGGGTCGGGGAGCAGATTTTGAGCTGATCTGGGTCAGGCGGGACAGCCGCCGTTGTATCAGCTGGCCCTCCCCTGAAGAGAGGCGGGAATGGAGTAGGCATAGGAACGAAACACGATACCTTTCGGAGATCCGCGTGGGCTTTTTGAATCAGCGCTGGCCCCCCGAGCTGCGCCATCCAGCGCAGACCCTGGCGCGCAGCGCGCACTGGGGAGCCCGGTCCAGCGCCGATCCAAGATATCTGTGCTGACATCCGAAAAGTGCGAGCTTATGCAGTTTTCTTTCGTCGGGTACACTCGGATCGGTGGGAGAAGGGAGGGAGCGAAGGGAAGGTGGCGAATCAGATCACGTAATCAGCTGCTTTCCATGGCGCCCTTCTGGCGCCAGAGGCGCCCATGTCACACGTGTTGAACGGCGGGGCCGAAACCAGCTTCACGCAGAGGATTTTCCGCCCCCCGCCTTTCCCTGACCCCTCCTTTCGTCCGACACGATAGGAGTAGGAGTAGGATCCAGTGGCGATGCCAGTTTCGATCATGTGGGGAGGAAAACGAGGGCGAGGAGAGAGCGAGGACGTAGCAGGAATGGGGGAGTGGCACGGGAGCCGCTCGCGAGAGGGCAAAGGTTGGCCTCGCGCCCCGCAGGCTGCAGCGACCAACTGGAGTCGGACCCCCTCCGTGTCCCCTGCCCCTACCCAACCCTGCCTCAACCCACCCCTCAACAACAAAAAAAACAAGGGGAGGGCGGCACACCCGCATCAAGCCCACGTCGGCGGAAGCGCGCGGGGGGGCTTTTCACTCCGGCTCCTCGCCCTTGCAGCCCTTGTGTTCGTTTTTGCAGCAGTAGTCGATCTTCCTCGGGGACCACGACAACACGAGGCAATGCATGCAGTGGTGATAGCCCGCGTTGCAATCGTACTTGCTGTTGTCCGGCTCGGGGGGCGCGTTGGAAGGTGGCGCACCAGAGGGCGGGGGAAGCTCCGACGGGCAGCCCTTGTTCGCGGTCTTGCAGCAATACAGCTTCTTCTCGCCGGACCAGCCGCGGACCCACTGCAGCGGGTCGAGGTCGTTGTAGCCAGCGTTGCAGTCTATCGGGCACGGGGACGTGGTGCTCATCGCCGTTGTCACCACCGGTACGACTAGCGCCGGCATTGTGCTGGGAGCGGCCGGGGTCGTCGGGCAGCCCTTGCCCTCGTGCAGGCAGCAGTACACCTTCTTTGGCACGTCCCAGGACACCACGTCGCCTTCGCCGCAATTAATCTTCTTTTCCGTGGTAGTGGGCGGCGGGGGCGGCGGGGGCGGCGGGGGCGGGGGCGGGGGCGGGGGCGGCGGCGGCGGGGGCGGAGGCGGAGCCTTGGTGGTGGTTGTCTTCTTCGTGGTCGTTGTGTCGGGCGGCGGAGTAGTTGTGATGATCACCGGGGTGGTGGTGGTGGTGGTCGTCGTCGTGGTCGTCGAGCCTGGTGACATCGCGAAGAGGAGGAGTGGCAGCAGGAGGAGCGAAAGGCCCAGGGGCACGAGGCAGATCAGGCAGCAGTTCGGGCCGCGACCAGGGATGCGGACCGCCCCGAACTCACCCGCGCCCATGCCCACGTACTTGTAGGTGGTCTCCTTGGGGGCCAGAGCGATAGCGATGCCGCGCTTGATGCGATTGGTGTGTGACGGGACCTTGTCTTATTCCCCACATCCTGAGTGGGGTTCTTGTTTTCTCTGCACACCCTCCGCGCAGGATCTCCTCATCCTCCCTCTCATCTGCTCCTCTTTGCTTCCTCCTCCGCATCATCATCACCATCATCATCACTCCCCACTCATCATCATCATCATCACCATTAGCATCACCATCACCATCCCACGATCACTCACCATCGTCGGCATCGAACGATCATCATCATCATCATCATCATCATCATCATCATCATCATCATCATCATCACTACTCGCTGACTTGAGGCCTGAATATGGAAGAAGTATCAGGCGGGAGCCTCGTCTGTGAGTGAATTGTGAGGAAGTCTCAGGCGGGAACCCCCTCCCTATGGGGCCCGCAGATCATGTTATTAATCCGAGCGGGTCATCGGATTCCTGTAACTGTCGTCACTTTTGGGCTCCTCAGGTCTGAATTTGGAGGAAGTATCAGGTGGGCGCCTTGTTTGTCAGCGAAGTGTGAGCAAGTCTCAGGCGGGAGCCCCCTCCCTATGGGGCCCGCAGATCATGTTACTAATCCGAGCGGGTCATCGGATTCCCGTAACTGTCGTCACTTTTGGGCTCCTCAGGTCTGAATTTGGAGGAAGTATCAGGCGGGAGCGGGAGCCTCGTTTGTCAGTGAATTGCGAGCAAGTCTCAGGCGGGAGCCCCCTCGTTATGGGGCCCGCAGATCATGTTATTAATCCGAGCGGGTCATCGGATTCCTGTAACTGTCGTCACTTTTGGGCTCCTCAGGTCTGAATTTGAAAAAAATATCAAGCGGGACCCTCGTCTGTGAGTGAATTGTGAGGACGCGTCAGGCGGGAGCCCCCTCCCTATGGGGCCCGCAGATCATGTTACTAATCCGAGCGGGCCATCGGATTCTTATAACTATCGTCACTTTTGGGCTCCTCAGGTCTGAATTTGAAGGAAGTATCAAGCGGGAGCCTCGTCTGTGAGTGAATTGTGAGGAAGTCTCAGGCGGGAGCCCCCTCCCTAGGGGGCCCGCAGATCATGTGATTAATCCGAGCGGGTCATCGGATTCCTGTAACTGTCGTCACTTTTGGGCTCCTCAGGTCTGAATTTGAAAAAAGTATCAAGCGGGAGCCTCGTCTGTGAGTGAATTGTGAGGACGCGTCAGGCGGGAGCCCCCTCCCTATGGGGCCCGCAGATCACGTTACTAATCCGAGCGGGTCATCGGACTCCTGTAACTGTCGTCACTTTTGGGGCCCTCAGGTCTGAATTTGGAGGACGTATCAAGCGGAAGCCTCGTCTGTGAGTGAATTGTGAGGAGGTCTCAGGCGGGAGCCCCCTCCCTATGGGGCCCGCAGATCACGTTACTAATCCAAGCGGGTCATCGGATTTTTGTAACTGTCGTCACTTTTGGGCTCCTCAGGTCTGAATTTGGAGGAAGTATCAGGCGGGCGCCTTGTTTGTCAGTGAATTGTGAGCAAGTCTCAGGCGGGAGCCCCCTCCCTATGGGGCCCGCAGATCATGTTACTAATCCGAGCGGGTCATCGGATTCCTGTAACTGTCGTCACTTTGGGGCTCCTCAGGTCTGAATTTGGAAGAAGTATCAAGCGGGAGCCTCGTCTGTGAGTGAATTGTGAGGACGCGTCAGGCGGGAGCCTTCCTATGGGTCCCGCAGCTCACGTGGTTCCTCGGGGTCATCCTCCGGCGCGCGCTTCCTCTGGGTCGTCCTCCGGCGCGTATCGGCTGGGACGCACGTCGTGCGCTTCCTCTGGGTCGTGTTCCGCACGAGGACGAGGAGGAGGATTGCCAGGAAAAGGAAGAGGGATGATGCAGGACGAGACAGGAAAGCAGGAAGAGGAAGAGGCTGAGGGGAGGAAGGACGAGGAGGAAAAGGAGGAGGAGGAATGCCCGAGGAGGCCCCAGTAGGTCCCGGAAGGCCCAGAAGGCTCCAGGAGGCCCCAAGAGGCCCCAGGAGGCCCCAGGAGGGGGCAGGAGGCCTAAGGAGGAGGCAGGAGGAGGAGGAGGAGGAGGAGGAGGAGGAGGGGGGGGGAGGAGGGGGGAGGAATATGGAAACGAGGAGGAGGAGGAGGAGGAGGAGGAGGAAGCGGATGAGGGAGAGGGAGAGGAGGAGGACAGGGGATGAGGAGGAGGAGGAGGAGAAGGGAGAGGGAGAGCAGGAGGAGGAGGCAGGAGGCAGGAGGGGCAGGGGGAATGGGGGGGAGGAAGCATAACGAGGGGGAGGGGGAGGAGGTGGAGGAGGCAAGAAGAGGAGGAAGAGGCAGGGGTTGAGGCAGGAGGAGGAGCAGACAGGAGGAGAACGAGGAGGCAAGAGTAGGTGGGAGAAGGGAAGGGGCAGGAGGATACCCCCATGCAAGCTAAAGAGATTCTCATGTGGGGTCCTTCCGTCGGAGTAATGCTCTTTGTTGTTGTATGGCTCCTCGTACAGTGGTAATTACTAAAGCCCTCCCAACGCATGGAGCGCAACATGCGCGTTCACTCGTTTGACCAAGTCTCTTCACTTTGTCGCCTTGCCAAGGAGAAAGCGTGCCAAAATCACTGCCAGGGTAGAAGACCTTTCATGGGAGCTAGCGCACCCCCGCCTCCCCCCAGCCTCCCCTACCCGGACCCCCCTCTCGCCCGAGCTCAGTGGCAGATTCGCGCGGCAACGCGACTGGATACCGACACTGCCACTCCCTGGACCTCTCCCTGAGAGCGGATGCTGCTGTGTGTGACTACCTGCCAGACCACCCCAACCTAACCCGAAGATCCGCATTTCGGGTTCTGGAGGGGGGCTCGGGTTCCACATGCGTTTGGCAATGTTCCCCAACACTCCCCCACTGGAAATGAAGAGCAAACTGGGGCCTTCGGGTTGGGTTGGGGTGGTTTGGTGGGTGGTGAGTGCGGATCGCCCGTTCGGCCGCTTGAAGTGGGTGCATGTGCATACTGTGGCAGCTGAAGGGTGCGAGGAGGAGCAGAAATATGTATGATCATGTGGAGGCGACCACATACATTCGTGTATACATCCCCTCGAGCTTCCTGGACGTAGTCGCCCCCTGGGCCCACGTAACTCAAGATCGTACCGCCGCCGCCGCCGCAACCCGAGCCCTCGGCACAGGCCACGCCGCAGCCGGGGCCACAGCCCATGCAGGCGCTGGTGCTCGCGCAACACGCCGTCCCACAGTCCGCGCCACCAGCGCCGTACGCGCCGCGCGCGCCGTACAGGCCGCTGGCGCCGTGCACGCCGCTGGCGCCGTACATGCCGCTGGCGCCGTACATGCCGCTGGCGCCGTACGCGCCGCCGAGGCCGCCCGCGCCTGTCGGCGGCGAGGCAGACCCCAGAGCTCTGGGCGGCTCGGAAGCATCAGGTGGTTTCTTGCTCGCCAGGTTGGGCCCCCGCGGGCTGGCCAGGCCCCAGGAAGCCACTGGAGCAATCGAGAAACAGCTCAGAACGAAATGCTGGCCCCAAGACGGGGCCGAGAGGTCCTGGGGGCCATGTCGCAAAAAACAGCCGAGCAGCCCGGTGTTCAGTCAAGGGGGCAGAAAGTGCGGGGTGGCCCTCCGAGAAGGCCACGAGACCCGTGGACGGCGTGAGAGGCGTGGCTCCAAAAAGCTCGAAACCTTCGTGAGGAGGCCCCGGCCCCCCCCGCCCTTCCCCCAAAGCCCTCTCTCCAACCTCGCGCTCCCGCTCCCGTACCCGCTCCCGTACCCGCTCCCGTTCCCGCTCCCGCTCCCGCTCCCGCCCCCGCTTCCGTTCCCGGTCCTCCTCCTCCTCCTCCTCCTCCTCCTCCCTCCTCCTCCCGTAGCCATTTTGACTCAAGTTCGAAACGTTGCCGCGAGGCTGCGAGCTTGTCCGCAGCTGTGCGGCAGGCCCGAGTCCAGCCGACTGCGGCCACAGGGGCCACTTGCAATCACGGGTCCTTCTGTATTTTTCGTTCCTGCAGTCTTGTGTGTTGCCGCCATGTCCTGGCGCAAGCGCTCGCCCTGGAGCCAAGGCAATGACAGGCCTGTTGACAAGCGTATCAAGTCCCAGGGTAAGCCGTACGACGTCACTGGGAGTACAGGTCCTTCGGCAACTGGTGCTGCTCGAAGTGCGCGGGCGAATACTTGGCAGCGGGTGGAGCTGGTCAGGGTGCTAGGCGAGTCAAGACCAAGGATGCAGCTACTGCAGGACGTGGATATGACGACCTGCGCGTTGCTGCTGCCCTACTGCTCGCTGCCAAGCCCGAACTTCGAGATGGACTTGCGCGGTTCGTGGAGGAGGCCCCCCAGGTGGAGCCTGAGTGGACTGCGGTCAAGCTGCAGGATGCAGCAAGTGCTGAACGCACCCGCCTCACCCGAGTCGCTGAAGATGCAGCGACGGCGGCGCGCTTGGCTAATCAGGATGTACATTCTCTCGAGACCCGCGTGGAGAAGCTCGAGGAACAGCTGGCGGCGGCGAGGCTTGGCCTTCGCCACCGACGCCGCTCTCCACCAGGAAGCTGCTCGAGTTGAGCAAAATGCTGCTGAAGCACACCAGCGGTTCCACGAGGAGGCCTGGGTCGAGCTCGAGAAGAGATCGAGCGGCGCCGTGCCCGCGAAGCTGCGAAAGGCCGCCGCCTGGGCCCAGCCCGTACCTGAGGCCCGTGCACTCGCCATCGCTCGGCCGTCTATCCCTCGTGTATGTTTCGATGTCGTGCGTGCTTCCTTCGCTAAGTCATCCAGGACGCTCCTCCATGTTCCTCGCCGAGAAAAAATGCACACGTCCGAGCGATGCCAAGTGCACCTGGAGGTGCTGCTGCGGGAGTTCCTGAAGGTGCCCACGCTGGTCCTCACGGCAATGGCGGCGGCGGTCAGGCAGAAGATGCTCCTGTGCGACCTGAAGATGTCCCCAACCTGGGAGAGATGGGGGAGTCTGGCCTCCGCGGGTTCGTCGAGAGGATGACCTCCCCCCTCGAGCTCCCCAGGCAGTTCCAGGACATGTCCCAAAAGCTCGCCCAGGGCATCGACGTTGACATGGATGCGGGCAGTGATGCTGGCAGCGACGCTGGCGACCTTCCCCAGCCTAAAGCCGATGAGCTTCGCATCTTGCGCAAGAGAGCCTGTGGCGAAGTGCTTGGCCCCGAGGAGTTATCCAAGATAGAGGGGCCTCCATGGTCAAGAAGTCCAAGGCCCGCCGGTCCAAGCGGATCAAGGCCGCCGCGGCCGAAGCCTCGGCCGACTTCGCCGACCTCGCGCGCGCCACCGCTGCCCAGGTGCCGAAGCAGGCGCCGAGATCCTGGCGCGAGTGAGTCCACCACTTTTCTGAACAATTACACACTGGGGCGCTCTTGCTTGCAACTTCATTTCTAGTTAGCACGGCAAGGCCGACGCCTTCTTTTGTGCTGAACACCGCTAGCCCCCCTTCCAATTGAAAGCTGCTGAGAGGGAATGCGATGCAATGAAGTGGCGCCCTCACTTCGTCCCAGCTCAGGGTGCTTCTGGGGCGGGCGCCCACGGGGGCGCGGGGGCCTGCGTTACCAAAGGGTTGTTTGTTCTTCAAGAAGTTCCTTTCTTACGATGGGAAAACGAAGGTGGGTGCAGGAAACGGGTGGATGCATCTGGACTAGCGCACTGAACGACGCGTTGTCGGCGCGGGCGTCGCGCGCATGATAGCTGGTCTTGGTGTGCCCGGTGGAAACATGCGTGAGGCGCAAGAGGTGCATGCCTTTGTCCACACCCAGTTACCCCATGTATTCTGATAGGAGGCTCCAACTTAGATGTTGAGCGAATGCCGCTCTGCGGCTCCCCCAAGATGACGCGCGCGCGCGCCGTCGCTCCTGCAGATGCGTCTCGTACGCGCTCGCAAGGCCAAAGCGCCCTCATCGATTATGTAGTCGCGTCGGAAACCCTCGCGCCGTTCGCGCGCGCCTCGGCGCGTGCCAACTCTCCTTTCAAGACGCTTGCCCGCGCGGAGCCTCACTCCAGGAGGCGACCAAGATATGCAAACCTCGGGTTGTCCCTGTTCTGGGCCCCCGTCCCCCCTGGACTCGGCATCTCGTATTGGCCTCGGGGTCGGGTCCCACCGATTCAAAATCCAGGTGTGAATATGGTTCCTCACGTGAGGGCTCATCTCTCGGAGGCGTTGACTAGTACTTACCTGCTGTGATCACGAGCGTCTGAGAGTTTAACACTATGTGCACTAAGAGGGCTGCGCTTTCATATAACAGCGGGCGCGGTAAGGCGCACTCGCGCCCGGCGCGTTGCTTCTGGTCTCATATATCACAGAAGCTGCTTGACTTTCGCGTGGCACTCTCACATGGGCATGGTAAGATGGCGCGCGACCTTGCTCGGCGAGTCGCGTACCTTGGTCAGTATGTTGAGCAGTGGTCTTCGTGCTTGCCTTCATCGTAGCGTTCCCATGCGTGGCGGGCTCATCTGTCCCAAATGGAATCCGGCAGCTCGGCCGTGAGCCCCGATCTGCGCGACTTCCTGGTCTACGAGTGCTCTGCTGCGCGCGGTCGCGCGCGGTCTGGTGCCCGTTCGAATGCTACTAAGGCGATTCATGGTTGGCTGATCAAGGCCTTGCCCAGGAGGGGCCAGGAGAGCTCGCAATTGGCTTGAGAGAAATGAAAGCGACCCTCTGGAATTGTTTCGGGCCCCTGGCGGGGCCCTTCAGCACCCTGGGGAAATGATGGCCCATCGGGCCCAGCTGCGGGGGGGCCGCTGGACCGCGGGCCCCGCGCAAATGACTGAGATGGGGGAGGCCGTGAGTGAGCTTCGTCGTCGAGCTAAGGAGGTCCAGCCTGATCGGCCTGACATTGAGTGTTGGGGCGTCTTCGCTGCTAGTCGACTCTTCTCCGAGGACGCGGTCGCTGGGGACCGATCGCTAGCAACCTCGGCATTTCATGGGGGCTCAGTCGGACGCCCTTGAAGCTCGCGTCCGGCTCTGCCGCTCCTGTGAAAGGGCCCCGACGTGGCCTGAGCAGAGTTTGCCCATTGCGTTTGCCATCCCTCCCAAAAGTTAAACCGACGAGCACCCCGCAGGGAAGTGTCCTACGCTTCATTGGGTTTACGCTAACATCCGTGGGCACCTCCTGGATGAGTGGGTTCGGGACCGCGCTGCTTTTTTGGGGCACTGCGATTCGAGGTGGCTCTGCTTTGCAGGCCGCCCTTCGGCGGGAGTTGTCTCGCGAGCTCGCGGCCTTCGAGGCCCTGGTCTCGGTCGGCGTCCACAAGGACATTCGCAAGTTTTGTTGACACCGTCTCTCCCGTCTTGCTGATCAAGTTCGGGTGCAAACTGCAGTCCCCTCCACGTCTCATGTGCATGGGTCTTCCGATGCCTTGATTACCGAGGGTGCTGGAAACGGGGGAGGGGGGGGGGGGGTTGTCCTAAGCTGAACGAGTCTGGAGTTGGTGTTCTTCCCCGGTGTCCCAAGAGTATGCCGTGGACCAAGGCCGACCTGCATCTAATGCTAGCTGACATACATACCAGGTACTTCCCCCCTGCGACTACACAAGGACGCGTTGACGACCTCGCTCAGAATTCCCGAGGCAGCGCTGATGATGTCGCCATCTCTGTTGCCCCAACCCCTCTGCACCTTGCCCACGGAATGGGTAGTTTACGTCTGACGATGTCGGACAAGTCTGCGAGTAAGCGCGCAATCGGCCTTCGTAGTGCTCAACTGCTTCGGACCGCTGGAGCCCGAGTGCGCGTGCAGGACACGGTGCGTGACCTACACGTTGCGATCACTGCTGGCAAAAAAAAAAACAAGTATGATTTTGATTACCAGGAACGCTAAAACGATGAGAGCTAGGGAAGTTCAGTGTGCGACGGGAGTATGCGAAGGGGCTTCGGAACTCTATAAGCCTGATGTTATTGCTATGCCCTCCTGGGGGCACCATGTCTTGGGACTGTCTCCTCATCGTGTTCGTTCGTTTCAAGCTCGAGCCGCCACATGTTCCCGAGTTCGTGGGCCTGTCGCTGCCACGGTCGCTGTGCTGATTGACCTCGGCTGGCTGCCTGTGCCCCCCGCAGTTTGGATCGTGGCCGATGGGGCCGCCCTGTCAGCTGATGCACCCGATGCCCCCGCCCAGCTGTGGAAGCAGCTGAAGCGAACAATTCACGGCACTTCATGGTGGGTTTGACTTTACTAACGTACACTCCCTGTTGTCCAATATGAATAAAGATCCGGATTATGAGGGCCAGTGGATTTTACATAACACGCTGGTTGGGGAGGGGGCTTCTGGACCGAAGCCCGAAAACATGAATGTGGGTATGACACTGATTCCCAGGGACTTCGTCGGCGATGCAGCCTTGCACCCGAAACCCCACTGCACCGTTTCTGGAAATGCCGCGCAATGGCAATATTCCCCGCCCTGCCGTGGAACGTTCGCAGCCTCTGTGTGCTCGTGCACTTGAAGAGGCACCTGGCTATCCTGCTTTTTGGTGCCGCGGGCTCATGCGAAGATCCAAATCGACAGGGCATGTTCCGCCGCCCACCGGTCAGTTATGGTCCGGGGGATCTCTTGGAGGCGATCGGACCCCTGGAGGAGTCTCTGGGATCGATGGGTCGGGGGGGTACACATGCTAAGGACTGGAGACTAAGGCGGCGCGGTTGGGCGCGTGCCCGCTCAGGCAGTTTGCCTGGAGATCACCAGGAGATTCCCGAGGGCCGAGCTGCAGACCCTGGTCATGCTACTTCGGCACACGCAAGGGCGAGTACTTATCTGTTCCGAATACCTGCCTGTGGCGCCAGGTTTTCGCAAGGCGCCGATTTTGGTGCAGAAGTCTGATATGTTGGACTCGTGGGTGTAGCTCTGGCAGATCCTGGAAATGAGGAAGGGGAGGTCGAAATGAGGTGGACCACGTGGAATCCTACAGGACGGGAGGTTGAGGCTCTTGGGCTGACGAGCATCGAGCGCCTCTTGACCCCCGTTGCTTATGGATTGGCAAGTGGCGCGGCCCACCGGGGCAGTTTCCTAGATGAACTCGTTGAACGCACCCATCGAGAACACATGCTCCATCGCGAAAGTTCAAGTAGGACGTTGTCAATACAGCGTGAAGTGTGTATGACTTGTGCTCGCGAGCGCGTGCGTGTCGGGCATGAGCGCGGGCGTGCCAGAGGTCTTGGGGCCAGCACGCGCACTCGTGTCGAGCGCGCGCGCAGCAGCAGTCCCGTGTGGCTATGGAGACTCTGATCAGGCCAGGCCCTCTCTTGTGCTTCAGGCCAGGGCTGTGCAGAGGGTCCAAGTTCGCCCACCTGGCGGAGCCCGCAGGAGATGGCCGCCTCCAGCTCGGGGATGGGGAGGAAGAGACGCCTGCCTTTCATGTCCTCGCTCCTGTCTCGCATTCCTCGCATCAGTTGAAGGTGCTGAACGGAGTCCTTTTCTGTAAGGGAGTTTGTCCCCGCACGGGCCCGTCCACCGAAGGGAAGGAGGCCCTCGGGAGGCTCAGTCGTGGGCTTCCACCTGAGTCGGGAATGTCTTTCCCGCGTGACTGATTATGATGGGAACGGCCAGGCTAGCACTTGGGGTCCGCCACATCAGCTTAATGCTTAATGTTCCTCCTCCTCCTCCACCTCCTCCTCCTCCTTCTCCTCCTCCTCCATTGGGGCCTCCTCCTCCTCCCTCCTCCCTCCTCCCCCTCGCTTGCCCATCCCTCCGCCTCCTCATCCTCGCGCGCACCATGGAGGTCGGGGCCGCCCGACCCAGGCAGGAGGGGGATCCTGATAGCTGCCCGTCCGACCCCGAGACGAGGGACTCTCGTGTGGCCCCAGAAAGGCCCACCCCAGCGCTGGGAGCCGGCCGAGCGGCGGCCCTTGCGGGCCCAGCTCCTCTCTCAGAGGTCCCGGGGCCCTCCCCGACCAGGATGGGACCTCCTCCTCCTCCTCCTCCTCGCCCTCCTCCTCCTCGCCCTCCTCCTCGCCCTCCTCCTCCTTCCACTCCTCCTCAGACCACCGCCGGCCAGATCTTTGACAGCGTGAACCCCTGGAGGTCTAGACACCTTCCCCGGGACCAACTTGTCATGTCGAATCGCTTTGTTGACGGCCCTAGGCCTGCCAAGGACCCCCGGAGCTCAAGCCGTGCGTCGTGAATCACACCGGCCCTCTGGGCGCGAGTGCTCTCGCGGAGTTTCTCTTGCATGTTCCCCTTCTTCCTCTTCGTGGAGGGATCTGCCCCTCTCTCCCCTGGAACTCGAAGGGGGGGCTCGCGAGGTGTCAGGGCGACCCGAGAAGGCAAAAGTCTGTGACGCCCCTCAGGTGTTGGGCCCATGTTGGCCTCCTGGGGGGGGGGGTGATTGAGGACCCCCCTTCTTTGATCTAACTCTCCCAAGATGGCCCACAAATTGCCAGGCACGAACTAAAAAAACCAAGACATGCCCATGAGGCTCCCAAGAGACACCCAAGAAAGAGTACCCAAAAGGCTCCCCCGAGGCGCCCAAGACGCTCCAAGAGGTCCCTAGGACCGCTAAAAGGCCCCCAAGAGGACGCCAAGAAACTGTCAAGAGACATCCGAAGAGACTCCAAGAGGCATCCAAGATGCCTTTGGCCTTTCTGGACGCCCTCCTCCTCCTCGTTTTCAGCCGCCTATGTCTCCCCCTCCTCCCACCTCATGTCTCCCTCCCCCTGCCCTTCCCTTTCCTCCTGCTCCTCGTCCTCTATCTTCCCTCTCTTGGGGTATGACGGCTTCTCCAGCCCGGTTATTTCCACTACATGCTCCTCCACGTTCCTGATCAGAACAACTCGCCTGGGCATCGTTGCTGGATGTGCTGGTGGTGTTACGCGAAGCGGATTCTCTGACGCCAAAGCATGCTCCCCCTGCGGCTCAGATACCTTGCAACCCACGCAGCGAACGACGTGCGAGAGACAATCAACGAACATGGATAGATACCCGAACATGCCCCACCACTCCTCCGAACCCAGAGTGGAAGCTACGGCTCCCCCGTCTCTCGCTTCCCGATCCCCCTCTGCCCCTCGGGAGCGGCCAAGAGGGGGGTGTCCAAGAGGGGGGGGTGCAAATCATGACCGGCGGCATGTACGCGGCCCAGCGGGGGGGCCAGGGACGTAATGAAATAAGAAGTGGCGACATGAAATCTGGAGAAATATCATGGCCCACGCCATGATATCCACCCCCCCACCCCCCTCTTTGCCGCCCCCGAGCCCCTCCTCGTGCCGACGCCCTGCCGTGACCCCTCCGCTCCGCCGAGGCCTCCGCCGAGGCCTCCTCCGTAGCGGAACGACATGGCGCCCCGCGGCGCTGAGGCGGTGCTCGCCAGCGGGAGGAATGCTATCTGCGGGAAGCCTGAGAGTGACTATCGCAGCGGCACAGCCGAGCGCCGGAACCCTCCACACGCGTCAGGGTGCAGGGTGCAGCGGGGGGCGGATGCTGAAGAGATCTCCCGCGGAGTCCTCTGGACTCCCCTGGGCGATCCGACGAGATTCTTGCGGAGGAGAACGAGGCTCCTAGCTAGTGAGGGGGATCCTGTCGAGTTCTTGTGGCCTCATGGGACGCCCCGAGAAATTCTCGGGACTCCCTCACCAGCCAGGAATCCTGAGGATGCCCTGACTCCAATGCAAAAGCTGGGGACGGTTCTATGGGACGGCTCCTCCGCCCCTGTGCTTCCTCTCTCCTTCTTCCCTCTGTCACCGCCATCTCTCTCTCCCGCCCATTTCCTGATCCTCCTTTCCATCCTCCTCCTCCCTCCACCTCCTCATCAACCTCCTCCTCCGCCTTCTCCTCTTCCCATTCCTTTTCCTTCCAAATCCGCCGCCCCCCCTTGCGGGGCCAGCAGGCTGTAGCGCTGGGGTTTGCTGTTCCCTGCGCCAGTTCCAGTTTCCAGTTTCGACTGTTACAATATGTCTTTATGCTGCTTACTGTTCCTTGTTGATGGACCGCGCAATAAAGAAAGCCGAATCGCGTGCTCTGAATTCCTGGCGGGGGGCGTGGGACAAGTAAAAATATTTCAAATTCGCGCCCCTGAGGCCATAAACCTTTGTAAATTCACAATGCTCGCGACCCCGAGGCCATAAACCCTCGCGAATTACACTATACTAGCCTCCCCGAAGCCATAAAACCTTGCAACATACGCCGGACTCGTGTCCCCGAAGCCATAAACCCTTGTAATTTGCACAATACTTGCGTCCCTGTGGCCACAAACGCTCGTAAATCAATCGATATTCGCGTCCCCAAAGCCATAAACCCGCGGGAAAAAACGCAAGAGTCGCGTCTCTAAAACCATAAACCTTCGTGAATGACACAGCACTTGCTACCCCGAAGTCATAAGCCTTCGTACATTACGTCGTCATCGTGTGTCCGAAGCCATAAACCTTGTACATTACACGATACTCGCGTCTCCGAAGCAATCAATCTGCGGACATTACGCTATATTTGCGACCCCGAAGCCATACACCCTCGTACATGACGCACAATTCGCGTATCCGAAGCCATCAACCCTTGAAATACAACACCGAATTCAACAACATCATAATCTCAATTTACCTTCTCGCTGCTTCACGGCGGCGCCAAGGCCTCATTATTTCGCTCTTGCATTGCCCATTATCACAAAGAGGGGGCCAGCGGCAGGGGGCGAAGCCCTTAAGGACAATTTCTTCCCGTCGCACCCCGAGGCCGGTCGAAAGAGCGGAAGGACATTACGCTCGAGACTTCCAACATATGTCTGACCCTGAAAAAACTAAACATTGGCAGCAGCTTCACAGATGGAGGGCGTACCGTTTCCAACATGTGGCTCTCGCCCGAGCGCCCCGCACGCTCGCTTTGAACATTTCCACGGAATGCACGGATTGCGGGCACCGGATTGGGGGCACGTGGCTTTCAACATGTCGCTCTCGCCTTAGCGCCACGTACATCTGCTTTCTCATATTCGCAGCAGATTTCACGGACTGAAAGCGGGTGGTTTTCAGAATGTGGCTCTCGCCTGAGCGCCACGCACCTTCGTTTTAAAACATTGTTGGTTTCATGGGTTCCCATGGTCAACGTACCATGAATGATGTTTTGAACAACATGATGGACCCACGAACCCGGAAAGGGATAAAGACATGTGCAGCATGGTCACGTTTTCACGATACCCAACTGGGCGACATCTCACGAAACATCCCACGAGACACCCCGCGAAACATCCCACGAGACACCTCCCACGAGACACCTCACGAAACATTCCACGAGACACCCCGTGAAACATTCCACGAGACACCCCACGAACAGGCAACCACTCAACCAGACACGCCACGAAACATTCCACGGGGGTGCGACTGGGTGTGGTCGTGCTGGGGTGTGGTCGTGCTGGGGTGTGGTCGTGCTGGGGAGTGGTCGTGCTGGGGTGTGGTCGTGCTGGGGGGTGGTCGTGCTGGGGGGTGGTCGTGCTGGGGGGGTGGTCGTGCTGGGGGGTGGTGTGCTGGGGCGTGGTCGTGCTGGGGCGTGGTCGTGCTGGGGCGTGGTCGTGCTGGGGCGTGGTCGTGCTGGGGTGTGGTCGTGCTGTGGTGAGGTCGTGCTGGGGTGTGGTCGTGCTGGGGTGTGGTCTTGCTGGGGTAGGGTCGTGCTGGGGTCGGGTCGTGCTGGGGTGTGGTCGTGCTGGGGTATGGTCGTGCTGGGGTGGGGTCGTGCTGGGGTGGGGTCGTGCTGGGGTCTGGTCGTGCTGGGGTGTGGTCGTGCTGGGGTATGGTCGTGCTAGGGTGGGGTCGTGCATTTCGCTCGAGACATCCTGCCAAAATTCCAGGAAATCGTACAAAAACAAACGAATTAGTCGAGACATCATCGAAATTCCTTCGCGCGGGGCGCTTTTCCGCGTCGCGGTCGGCTCTGCAAAACAAGCGTTTCGCTCGAGACATCCTCGGCAAACTCTGCGGAGCAAGCGTTTCGCTCGAGACATCCTCAACACACGAAAAAGTGGCCCGCACCCTGTGATTTATCGATCGGGATTTCAAAAACAAGCGTTTCGCTCGAGACATCCTCAAACATAATTTCGCCGGCCTCCTTCGACCTCGATATTTATCAGGGAAAAATTTCGCCGGCCTCCTTCAAGTTGGGCACCGGGGACATGTTTACATACTAAAACAGAACCCTGGGCCTTTGCCCTTTCCGGGAAAAATCAAGAAAACGAGGGCGCAGCAGTTACGTTGATTCGCGGCGCTGGAGTCCCAGGTGTGGCGTTCTGGCGCGACGCAAGATCGCCAACGCGCAACAGTCAGGTAAAGCCGTGGCGTTGGAAACCCGAGAATAATTATTTGGCACGCTTTAGGCTCTCCAATGGGTCGTCTTCGAAGGCAGTTCTCCCACTCCCCCTGTGGAAACGAACTGGGGTTAGTCGCGTATGAAAGGGGACTCGAAAGGACGGTTTATTACAGCATCGTTGATGACCCTTGGGTTGAGACGGGTCCCCCTCCCTCCTCCTGTTCCTCCTCCTGTTTTCCTGCGCCTCCTTCTCCATCCTGGCCCTCCTCCTCCTCCTCCTCCTCCTCCTCCTCCTCCTCCTCCTCCTCCTCCTCCTCCTCCCCCTCTTATTCCTCCTCCTCCTCCGCCCCCGGGGGGCGGGAGGCTGCCTGGCTGCGCTGGTGTCGAAGAGATCCCCCCAACCACAACCTCCTCCCCCCCCCCTCTTTTCGGGACCGGCGCGTCCGAAGCGGCCGCCCCCCTCCCTGCCCCCCTCGCGGGTGCAACCCAGTGCGGCGCGGCGCTGCGCGGCGCAGAGGCGGCCCGGGCGGGCACGTCCCGCGGGGGCTTCGCATCCCTCCGATCTCTCCCTGTCCTCCGACTCCCTCCTCCTATTCCCTCCCCCCCCTTCCTGATCCCGGCTGCGATTTGCGGCCGTCGTTTCCTTCGTTACGCACTTATGAAACCAAACTTGGGCTCGCGGTTTCCCTCGATACCGTTGTTTGAGGCCTGGGGGGGGGCTGCTACTGGGTGAGCTTATTGAATGCCTTCTGGCCCGCGCTCTAACTTGCGGCGGGCAGGGATGGATTGATCCTCGTCCCTCTTCGTTCGTCCTGCGGTCGTGTTCCCCCGTCGTCGTCCCCCCCCGCTTTATCTGCCCCCCCCCCCCTCCGCCCCCGCCCCCGCCCCCGCTCGGGCAGCGGGGCGCGTCGGGGGGGCGCAAGAGAAGGCGCGCTTCAAAAGGGGGGGCAGGGATGCCGCCGCCGCCGATCGGGCGCTCGCCGGCGCGGGGCGGAGTTCCGCCCACACGCGGCGCCGAGGGCGCCAGATCTCCGAGGATTCCTCGAACCCAAGGTGCGAGCGGAGGTCGATGACCAACGAGTCGAACGACCGCATGGTCTGCGGGTAGAAGACGAAAAGGGAGAACAGATGCGACGATTTTGCCCACGCGCCCGTCGGGGCAAGGGCGCCCAAGAGGCCCAATACCTGCGCCGAGAGGATATCGGAGAGATGACCGGTCTTCACGCGCGCCCCCCCGCCCCGAATCCCGCCCGCTCCACGTCGGCCGCGGGCCTGCGGGAGAAAGGAACGAGACTCGGGAATGGAGGCGCGAGGACATCTCAGATCGCCTTTCTAGCCCCAGCGCCCACCGAGCGGACCAACCGAGCAGCGCGGGGCACTTAGGGGGGGGAGTCCACCCCCGCCTTCAGCGGGCCGAGGGCCCGCCCCCAAAAGACGCATCGGCACGCCTCGACGACGCCCCGCCCCCGCAGGCTGCGAGGGTGGGGGAGCGGGGGGAGATGGAGGGACAATGATCACATATGTGCGTCAAGTGCACTGCGAAAGCACATATGCGGCGCAGGCGTTCCCACCGGCGCGCCAAATCCCGCGCGCAGGCGCGCGCGACAGGCGCACAGTCCATTCAAATCCCGCGCGGATCAAAATGCGCGGGCGCGAAACGCCCCCAAACGCGCATTCAGGCGCGCGCGCGCGGTCGAAATTGCGTCAACAAATGATCAGCATGATTCGAATTGACGAACCCATCAACATGATGGACCCACGAACCCGGAAAGGGATATAGACATGTGGAGCATGGACACGTTTTCATGATACCCAACTGGGCAACACCTCACGAAACATCCCACGAGACACCTCACGAAACAGCCCACGAGACACCTCACGAAACATTCCACGAGACACCTCACGAAACATTTCACGAGACACCCCGCGAAACATTCCACGAGACACCCCACGAAACATTCCACGACGACAGGCAACCACTCAACCAAGGCGGTGTGGTCGTGCTGGGGAGTGGTCGTGCTGGGGGGTGGTCGTGCTGGGGGGTGGTCGTGCTGG